ACAGTTAACAGTCCTACAAGTAACCGTCCTACAGGTAACGGTCATACAGGTAACGGTCCTACAGGTAACGGTCCTACAGGTAACAGTCCTACAGGTAACAGTCATACAGGTAACAGTCCTACAGGTAACAGTCCTACAGGTAACTGTCCTACAGGTAACGGTCATACAGGTAACGGTCCTACAGGTAACCGTCCTACAGGTAACGGTCATACAGGTAACGGTCATACAGGTAACGGTCCTACAGGTAACCGTCCTACAGGTAACGGTCCTACAGGTAACAGTCCTACAGGTAACAGTCATACAGGTAACAGTCCTACAGGTAACGGTCATACAGGTAACGGTCCTACAGGTAACAGTCCTACAGGTAACAGTCCTACAGGTAACGGTCATACAGGTAACAGTCCAACAGGTAACGGTCCTACAGGTAATAGTCCTACAGGTAACAGTCATACAGGTAACGGTCATACAGGTAACGGTCCTACAGGTAACCGTCCTACAGGTAACGGTCCTACAGGTAACAGTCCTACAGGTAACAGTCATACAGGTAACAGTCCTACAGGTAACGGTCATACAGGTAACGGTCCTACAGGTAACAGTCCTACAGGTAACAGTCCTACAGGTAACGGTCATACAGGTAACAGTCCTACAGGTAACGGTCCTACAGGTAACGGTCCTACAGGTAACAGTCCTACAGGTAACAGTCATACAGGTAACAGTCCTACAGGTAACAGTCCTACAGGTAACTGTCCTACAGGTAACGGTCATACAGGTAACGGTCCTACAGGTAACCGTCATACAGGTAACAGTCATACAGGTAACGGTCATACAGGTAACGGTCCTACAGGTAACCGTCCTACAGGTAACGGTCCTACAGGTAACAGTCCTACAGGTAACAGTCATACAGGTAACAGTCCTACAGGTAACGGTCATACAGGTAACGGTCCTACAGGTAACAGTCCTACAGGTAACAGTCCTACAGGTAACGGTCATACAGGTAACAGTCCTACAGGTAACGGTCCTACAGGTAATAGTCCTACAGGTAACAGTCATACAGGTAACAGTCATACAGGTAACGGTCATACAGGTAACAGTCCTACAGGTAACAGTCATACAGGTAACAGTCCTACAGGTAACAGTCATACAGGTAACATTCATACAGGTAACAGTCCTACAGGTAACGGTCCTACAGGTAATAGTCCTACAGGTAACAGTCATACAGGTAACAGTCATACAGGTAACAGTCATACAGGTAACGGTCATACAGGTAACGGTCCTACAGGTAACAGTCCTACAGGTAACGGTCCTACAGGTAACAGTCATACAGGTAACAGTCCTACAGGTAACAGTCCTACAGGTAACAGTCATACAGGTAACGGTCCTACAGGTAACAGTCCTACAGGTAACGGTCCTACAGGTAACAGTCATACAGGTAACAGTCATACAGGTAACGGTCATACAGGTAACAGTCCTACAGGTAACGGTCCTACAGGTAACAGTCATACAGGTAACAGTCCTACAGGTAACAGTCCTACAGGTAACGGTCATACAGGTAACAGTCATACAGGTAACGGTCATACAGGTAACAGTCATACAGGTAACAGTCCTACAGGTAACAGTCCTACAGGTAACAGTCATACAGGTAACGGTCCTACAGGTAACAGTCCTACAGGTAACGGTCCTACAGGTAACAGTCATACAGGTAACAGTCATACAGGTAACAGTCATACAGGTAACGGTCATACAGGTAACAGTCCTACAGGTAACGGTCCTACAGGTAACAGTCATACAGGTAACAGTCCTACAGGTAACAGTCCTACAGGTAACGGTCCTACAGGTAACAGTCATACAGGTAACGGTCATACAGGTAACAGTCCTACAGGTAACGGTCCTACAGGTAACAGTCATACAGGTAACGGTCCTACAGGTAACAGTCATACAGGTAACAGTCATACAGGTAACGGTCATACAGGTAACAGTCCTACAGGTAACAGTCCTACAGGTAACAGTCCTACAGGTAACAGTCCTACAGGTAACAGTCCTACAGGTAACAGTCATACAGGTAACAGTCATACAGGTAACAGTCATACAGGTAACAGTCCTACAGGTAACAGTCATACAGGTAACGGTCATACAGGTAACAGTCATACAGGTAACAGTCCTACAGGTAACAGTCATACAGGTAACGGTCATACAGGTAACAGTCCTACAGGTAACAGTCCTACAGGTAACAGTCATACAGGTAACAGTCATACAGGTAACAGTCCTACAGGTAACAGTCCTACAGGTAACAGTCATACAGGTAACGGTCCTACAGGTAACAGTCCTACAGGTAACGGTCCTACAGGTAACAGTCATACAGGTAACAGTCATACAGGTAACAGTCATACAGGTAACAGTCATACAGGTAACACAGGTTTACAGCGTGAAACCCTTTGATCTTACAGCGGTCGAAGTCCCAAGATTCATACATTTATTTATGTATAGATTCGTGGATTCACAGACACGAAAGCATCTTTCTACAAACACTGACAGAACTATGAATGGTGAATGAGTGAATCGGAGTATGAGGCTAACGATATGTGTTGGGATCATAGACTGTATATATTAATGGACAGAGTCATGCCTATCTCCGCCGTTCATAGGAGTTGGCCAAAAAAAGTGCTTTCATGGAGCAATCCAAGATGGCCGCGAGTGGTCCCGCCCACAAGAAAATTGTGAAAAAACGCATCTGCGCATGCGTCAGCTGCGAGAGCTCCATTCATTTGAACGAGAGACTTCAAAAATTCCCCGCGAGTAAACTAGAGTGGTCCAGAACACTCAGCATTGACACACATGTGGAACGGAGCTTTGGGCCAAGAGACAACTTTTGGACCATCCTGTAAAGACGTTTTCCAGAGGTCTGCCAATGCTATATGTTAGCATTGGCTAATTCTACTTCCGGGTCCACCCCCACAGGCCCGGGGTGGTACTGCAGCATGTCAGCGCACGTCATTTTGGCCACTTTTGACCTGGGACCCGCCCCCACTGGTTGGGATCAAGATGGAACAAAGGGGCGCTTCATTTGACAGGAATGACGGCTGTTTTAACTACGGTCTCTGCCGTTACCGTAAGTTTCATGCAAAATGTGCAATAGATTTCCCGGAGCCGTGCAGTCCTCTGCTGTCACTGCAGCTGAAGCCAGGAGGGAATAGATAAACGTCAACATAGGGGTGTTTGTGCTCATACTTCCAGAAAAGTTCATAGAAAAGTCTCTGTGATTATGGCTCAAAGTTTAGATGAATCCTACGGTTGCATTCATCCCAGTGGCCATTGACTTCTCTGGGAGTCGTGCGGCCCATCAAACTACTCATACCTTGTTTTTCTCGTTTCTATCTTTCATGTCTTTTTTCTGTAACACTGCTTTTAAAGCGATGTCTGTTTGACTCAACTGTTGTCATTATTCTAAGCATTGAGGGGAGGGGCGTGGCACCTCGGATCAGTCCCATGCGCGTTTGACTTTATTGTGTATTCAAGATAACAACTAACATCACAATTATGAGATTTCCAATAATAGAAAATAACAATGTATGTTTCCAGTGTCTCATTTATGTGATGTTCATTTTGTCCAAGCTGTAAGACCTCTTCCCATTGCATAAGTTTACAGTCTGGATTTTTATAATCACGGTTATTTATCACTACCACAATAATTATTTTATTTCAACATTGAAGTGGTTGTCATGTGTTTAATTCCATTTTAACTTGTTCCAGTCCAGGTCAGTGCTGCATGTCTTACTGAGATTTTAGGCCTTTTGTTTAATGCCCAGCGCGTCATTAACAATCTTCAAGCTTATCAACTCTAGATAAAAGATCAAATAGTGAACATGTAATATTCTCATAAGTATTGTTCTGTGACACATGACCTGGTGAAATGTATGGAGCTGCTAGAATACTGTTCTAACTTTCCCTAACTTTGCGAGGTGAGTGGTTTTTGATCATGGCTTCTCAACACACCCGACTCTAACCTTCAACATTATAAGATAAGATAAGATAAGATTGCTTTATTTATCTCACAGAGGAGAAATTTACATGTCACATTTGGCATGGATAGAGACACTCAGATTGTGCAAAGGGAGGAAATGTGACAATAATTATGTACAACAAAAGTGACAAGTGATAATCCTTATTTATAATTTACACCATCAGAGTTACGTTCTGTAATTTAGACCAAACAGTATACATTCTGGCTTCAAGCTCAAGAATATAGTTTTTTGTATTTTTGTATTATCATGTTTTGCTGATTTGAACTGACAAGCAAATGATCTGTCAGTGAGAGGATATTAAATCGAGAAAACACATGTTATTAAAGAACAGATACATTATAAAAGCTTGGATACCTGATGTTCAAACCACAACTAAATTTAAGCTTTGTAATAAAATGTATCTAATATTTTGCTCATCATCACTAGTTTTCATATTCACACGTTACAAAAGTCTTTCTATTGGAACAGACAAAATGCATTGAAAGGTAGATACCCCAGCTTAAGATAATACGATCTAATTGCTTTGACAGATACTATCACTTGACTTTTATAGTCTATAAAAGAATAAAGGACATATGCATACCATCAAGCTCGTTACATTTCTATCTATTTCATTTCTAGAATTATCATTGTTTGGTCGCAGTGGCTCTCGGGGTCGCCCTCAGCAGCTGTACCCCAGCATCAGCTCGGCAAGGGGCCCACTTCTCCTGTACCCATTTCACAGGGGCCTTTCCTGTGCTCTTGCAGCGCGAGGGCGGGGCGTGCCAGGGGCCTTATAAAAGCGCAGACACGCGCGAACGGCTCAGGTCTCCGCAGGTCTCCGCAGGTCCACACAGGTCTCCACTCTCTCTCAACCCCTCTGCTTTACGTGTAGACCGGGACCATGGACACGCGCTGACCCCTGTGTGGATGTGTGACTTTACTGGGACTCGATCTTACCCGCACTGGACTCAGGACACGGGGATGTTGAGCTCCGTGAAGATGGAGACCCACGACCTGCCCGAGTGGAGTACTTTCTACAGCGAAGCGAGCGAGGTGAGCTGCGGCCCGCTGCTGGAGGTGTCAGGGCTTTAGAGGAGGTTTAAGTACCGGAGGCACAGCTCCTCTTCCTGGGTGTCAGTTACATTTACTTCATTCAAATCAAAGAGACGCGCTGTGGTAGGTGAGCGAGCGCTTTAGCTTTTTAGAAATTAACAACCCCTAATTAACATAAACAAAATGTAAAACCAGTTCTGATAATTTTCTTCCTCTATTTTTAATTTTTGTTCTAACATCTTAGTGGAGATTTACAGTGTAATCGACGAATGCAACTACTATGACAATGCAAGTTGTAGGTACCCAGTACTGACCGAAATGCGTGTGAACGCAGTTATCAGGATGTTTCCCATGAATGCGTAAGGGGCCATCTGCGCACACATTAAATCCTAAAGAATCAGGTCTAATATCCACATTTCACTGTTCTTATTCATTCTTACATATGAATATTGGGCCGTTGGGCCGAACATCATGTTTGAGGCCGTGGCTCGCGGCCTCGCGCCTGTGCCCTGTCCCGTGTGTCGTGTGCGTGTTAATGTGATCATGTCATTAGAGATAATGTCATCATCACGTCTGCGCTGATCTCATTACCGACGGGGTGCGCACGGGAGATGCGGCAGGAGGGACACACGTTTGACGCCTCTTTCATGTGTAATAAACACAATGTGCGCGTGAAGGAGACGCGTTGTTTGGGGCCTCGCGCAGACCCTGTGTGTGCTGACGCGCTTTTTACGCATTTTCAGGTTAACACGGCCGTGCGAAGCTCCGCGCACTGAGGCCTCATTGTGCATTCATAACACATCTCAGCTCCCTCTGAAAATATGAACGAGTCACACAGCAGCCCAAATATGTAGCGAGCATTGAGAGTCTGTTCTGCTGCCGAACCAGAGTCAGCATTTTATCAAACAGGATCATAGCTGAGACAGACTCCTATTAGTGTGAGGAAAGATGAGATCTAATTAAACATCACATATGTTCCATTCATCATTGAGTACTTTGATAATGGGTCGAATAATATATTCAATGTTAATGATTCCAAGTACCATGATGTCCTTTGGGGCCTCACATGTCCTTACTGATCTGACTGTGTGTTGCAGATGTACCCGCCCCCCTCTTCCATGACCTCTCTGGGCTCCATGGGCCCCGCCGGCCCCATCAACAGCTACATTAATCTGAACACTGCATCCAGCCTGAATATGGCCTACCCCAGCCCAACTCTGAGCAGCTCTCCTCTGGGCTCAATGAGCCAGGGGCCCACACACATGTCTCTGTCTCCGGTCAGCACGACCCCTCTCACTCAGCTGAGCTCATCGGCTCCTGCCCTGGGATCCATGTCACATTATCAGAATATGGGACCCTCTATGAGTCAGCTGGGCTATGCTGCCTCTGCCACCATGAGCCGCAGCCCGAAAGAGGCCCCCCCAAAACCCTACCGGCGCTCCCTGACCCATGCCAAGCCCCCCTACTCCTACATCTCCCTCATCACTATGGCGATTCAGCAAAGCAACAGCAAGATGCTCACACTCAATGAGATCTACCAGTGGATCATGGACCTGTTCCCGTACTACCGGGACAACCAGCAGCGCTGGCAGAACTCAATTCGCCACTCGCTCTCCTTCAATGACTGCTTTGTCAAAGTGGCCAGGTCCCCGGACAAGCCTGGCAAGGGCTCCTACTGGACTCTGCACCCTCAATCTGGCAACATGTTTGAGAACGGCTGCTATCTGCGGCGGCAGAAGCGCTTCAAGATTGAAGAGAAGGCTGCTAAGAAGGCCTCCAAGAACCAGGAGGGCTCTTCCAAAGGGAGCCGGGATGAGGCTGAGGAGCAGAGCCCCACGCAGGACTCCGAGGGGCCTGAGGCAGCCCACCCAGACAGCTCTCACCCAGGGTCTGTGTCCGAGGAGCCCACCCTGCACCGCTCCTCTCTGGGCTCTATGGACTGTGCTCCAATGGGCAGCTCACACATGCACAGCAGCTCTGCCTCACCCCCTATGGGGCTGTCCTCTGCCCTGCTGCACCAGGGGCCGCTGCTGCCAGGGGCCATGCAACAGCACCTGGACCTGCAGAGCGACCTCAAGTCCCTGGACCCTCACTATAACTTTAACCACCCGTTCTCCATAACCAACCTGATGTCCAGCGAGCAGAAGATGGAGCTGAAGAGCTACCAGGAGCATGTCATGAGCTATGGCTACAGTGGGGCCTCACCAGTGGGGGCCAAGCCTGTGTACGACAGCACCGGGGCCTCAGCCATGGACTCAGGGGCCTATTACCAGACACTGTACAGCCGCTCTGTACTCAATGCGTCCTAGAGATATGGCGGTACCATGTACATATTGGGGACTTTATTTATGAAGGGATAGATCTAATATATGTAAGGGCCCTTCGGAGCCGGTTACTGTGGTGTTACTGCTGTTGGATGGACGTTACTCTGGCCTTGTGTTACGACAGAAATCTGTCCATTGCCTTCCACATTTCAGTGTCACTTTTTTATTCCTCACTTTACACTTTTGTATGTATTTATATCTGCAAACGTCGCCCTTTGTCCTGTTCAGCTTTGGATGCTTAACCACTTCTGTCATTTTATATATTTCATGTGATAATGTTTATTTTCTGAATACATGAAGAATAAAGTTAATTGTCTTTTATTTGACTTGCCTTTATGTGATCAGAGTATGACGTCAGTGTGGTTCTGGGGCCACTGTCCACGTGTCTCCTTCCCAGCATCTCTGCTGCTGAGAAGAAAGGACATTTTCAATCTCAGAAGCAACTATTTATGATACATTTCATATCCACCAATCAATAAAATACTTCCTTTATAAGTTTAAATATGCATCATATTTGTCTACTTGAAAGAGTCGAGTATTTGAAGTGGTTTTAGCAATCAAACGTGTTGTGTTGAATCTGGTTCCTAATATTAAAAACATAACATGTGTCTGGCCCAGAGCACAGAGGAGATTATTAACAGTTGTCTTCAGTTCTGAATTATCTCACGGGGCTTTCTTCTAAAGCTGGGATACCTAACCTTCATACATTACAGTTGTTTGTCAAACAGAAACTCATGTTAATGTCACATGTAAATAGAGAGGACCCTTCCTCACACTTAACAATAAGCATTTATTTTCGACAAAAGCCTCAACCACATTAACTAACCCTAATCACAATCTTTTGGACGTTTAAAGATCGTATAACAAATGATCTCTTTTTAGTTATTTTTTACCAATCAACAGTGAGTCCTTCTACAACTTGATACAGGGATTGTGTATCAAACTTGATACTACTATGATATTTGCATCATAATGATATAATATACCATACGGTGCATTGCAAGCAGCAACCTTTTACTCGTTGGCTCATGTAACCAGAGGAACTACTGTCTCCAGAGCCCTATTCACACTGCAAGAGACACTGGACGGACGGACCTCCAAATTCTCTTTCAGACAGTTCAATTCAATTCCTGTTTCAAGGTCCTTTTTGGAGCACTAAGCCTTTCTGATGGATCTGTCTGATGTTGTTTCAAAAAAAAGTAAAGTTGTGTCTCTGCAGCAGTGGAAGTTAATGTCATGATGATATTGCCTTATGGCAGCATGTAGAGTGTGAAAGTAGTGAGCTCCAGTAGCGCCCCCTTCAGGTGATCACAGTGCTGTCTCAGTCGCTTCAAACCCATCATACGAACTCGAGCACTTTTTTCACCTGTTGGTCAAATTGAACTGTTGTAAGTGACTACACATGTGGCGGTGGTGCTGATGGGTGCTTGTGGGTGCTGATGGGTGCTGGTGGGATGGGTGCTGTAGGGTGCTGTAGGGTGCTACAGGGCGTAGTCCTTTAAAGACAAGTATGATGCAAATGAGCCGCTGCATCCTGGATCCTGGAGCAGCAGTGTTTACCCAGACCTGAGGAGAGGGAGGGGTCATCTACACACAGATACACTTACACACGCACACTCTCACACATTACACACGCACATAAACCATCTTTATTAAAGGTATATCAGTGTGTTCACAGTAAAGTGACAATTGAAGTATCTGGACTTTAAAAGGTTATAACTTAAAAACTAAAATTACTTTCATAGATTGGAAGAAAGATTTCAAACACAGACACATTGAAGAGATAGTGTTGGAAAAAATCTAAAGGAAAGATTGACATAAAAATTTTTAGCAACATTTTAAACGACCAAATGAGCCTCTGATTGGACCATTCTACTGTGACGCCAGTTACATAGAAAATAAAATGTCCTCAGTCTGAAAAAGCAGAAGATGAAATCCCACAAGTTTTATGGTTAACACAACAGAAGTAAATCACTTGATATAAAAAGGAATCGTGAAAAAATAAAAAATAATTAATTAATTAAATGACCCCTGAAAAATGTATAACGGACGTGATGAGGACGGTCCTCTTTTCTCTAAAAATTAAACTTGAGAGAAAAAAAATCTGGTCTGTTGTCACATTTATTTGCTTGACAATATGAAAGTATCACTTTGCATCTACTTTGTGTAAAAAAGTAGAATCTCTGAATCAAATGTGGACATCTGAAAATACCATCAAACTTCCACAAAGCCCATTCAGTCAAATCATCACGTCCGTTACATAAAATAAACAGGGCCGCTATAGGAAACTTGTCTAATGTATAAAACAGTTATGTTCTAGCAACTTCTAATGAACAGAGGAGGTGCTTGGAAACATGAAAAACATAAAACATCTTCTGATTATTAAAATCTAATTTTTGGCCTTTTGCCACACTTTTGTGCCCTTTAGTGTGAACAAGCCCATATATGAGGTTTTCTCCTAATTTTAAGAAAGAACCGCCCTCTCCAGAGGGAATGCCTACTCTCCTCATGCACACTCTGTTTACAAGTCATTGTTAGCATCACTCACACAAGCTCATTTTATTAGAAGATTTTCCCTTTTTCTTCAAATAGAATGCCAAACTTTACCTGTCGAGTAGAAAATTGGCGAATGAAGCTTCAGTAAGAGCAGCAAGGGGAGGCGCGTGTCACTCTCTGCTCTTGCGGTGTGTACACGTGCCTCAGTGGGAAGCCCAACCTGGGCCATTGTGTGAAAGAATCTGCCAAAAACACTCTAGTCTTGTTTGACGAGCACATATCACCAGAATGATTTACAATTAAGAGCACCAGTAGTCTTGATGATTCACCTTATCTTAAACATAACATAGAAATAAAGAAGAAATATATGAATCCATCCATCCATCCATTTTCTTCCCCTTAATCCATTTCTGGGTCGGGGGTGGCAGTCAGAGCTGCACCCAGTACCCTCAGCACCAGCCCCTCCTGATCCTCCTGCAGGTGCTGAGTCCACAGGAGCTGAGATCTTTCAGTGGGAGCTTCAGGCAAAGTGGGGTTAAGTGTCTTGCCCAAGGACACAACGACAGCAGTCATCAGTGGGAGTCAGGAAGTAGGTCTTTGACCTTCAGGCCCAAAGGCCAATGCTCTACCAACTGAGCTACTGTCGCCCCATAGTATATATGAATCCCTAGATATCAAAACAAAACTCAGATAGAATCTAGAAAAGTCAGAGGACCAGGAGCAGGACCAGGAGAGAACAGTGAACCTGAAATGAGGAGAGGGTGTAGAGAGGTTTTTTTTAAGGCAAAGTGTAAGGCAATTGTCACGATGTCATGATCGGTAGTTCAATCACTTGGCTCTTACAATTCCATTGCACCATTATGGCTTATCTTTAATTTACTCTCCTTTTATTTTGGTCAGCTAAAAGTCTCCTGGACATGAGAAACTTACAAAAAATGTCACACAGTCTATCAATACATAGTTCCCACATGACGTCACTACATACGGGGATTTGCCGACCCGGCGCCATTTGTCTTGGCATGCTGTGGGCAAAACAATAGAAAAAGAAGCTGAAACGTGTTAATGTCGTGATAAAGTTGAAAATGGTCATCTCCTGCTGGGTCAATGGATGTTCAAATCGTGCCGGAGGTTCCGTTAAACTTGGATTTTACAGTATACCCATCATTAACGACTTCATGAATGTGAGAAGACTAAGCTTTTGTCAGAACAACCACGGAGGTTATGGCTTGCGAAGATAAACAGGCAAGAAACTCCCTCAAAACACGCAAGAATATGCTCGGAGCACTTTGTGTCAGGTGCGTATCGTATCTTATAATGTGTTGACAGACGTAATTTACTCAGTACTAACTTGTGTATGCTGATATCTGGTAACTTGAGAGTTTCATTATTTAGATTACTTTATTATGAGGAGGATCGGTGTCGCGTCCGAGGCTCTCGAGGGCAACGTAAATGTATTAAATAGATAATAATAGTTCTATGGTGGGCTAAAACAATGTTCACAAACAGCATTGCTTCTGTAAAAAGATCTGTGTCATAAAATAAACTGCTCTTTACGCCTGGAAAAATCAGTTGCCCACCATTCACCAAAACATACGGTCAAAAACGCGGAAATAAACAATAACAGCAATCCAGAGTGTCCGTGTGGCATTAGCATTAATTAAATTAATTGTTAATATAATTAAAATAATTAAATGGAGCTCCAACTGGTATTAAATCTAAAGTTTTTGAGAAATGTTTGCATTGCTTGTTAATTTTTGCTGCATAATTTGATCAAATATGTAAAACATGTCCGTAGCACGTTAAACTGTGGTGCCATTGTATTAATATACAATTATTTGCTCAAAAGTTGCCCTTTTTTCCAATTTGCGTTTGAATATCTACATTTATTCTCATTCTTCTGTTTAATGGAATGCACAAACACAGCAGCGTGCCATCAAAGATGGCGTCTCCGAGGAGGTCATGTGACATTCATTGGTCTGTGGGAACTATGTATAAAGGTAATTGTAATAAATGGCAAATATTTGAATAGGAATTGTGCACATATAAGAGCAGGTTAATTGATTTCATGTTCAAAACTTTATATTGCATGTCATTTCCAAGTTTCCTATGGGGACAAAAAAGTGCACATTTACATCTGAGCAATCAGTGGATTGAAAAATGGCATATGTCATTTCTGCACCCATCGTATTCCATCATTGACTACTGCTTCCCCTGAGACAGTGGGTCAGCTCTTTTGCTCTTTGTCAATCAACATTTAGGAGAAAACAGCGGTTACATATCCAAGCCTTATATAGTTAGTCACACCCTCATCACTTTGGACTCAAAGCAATTTGGGAAATACAAAGAAAAGAGAAATAGGAGAGAGAAGAGAAGACAGAGTGGACAGAGGACTGTGACAGTATGGCGGCTGCACACACTGATAAACACTGGACTTTGGACCGCGAGACCAGCTGGAGATAAGGCCCTGCGTCAGAGCCTCAGTGCTACAT